GTAATGCTTAACCTTCATGCCTGCAAAAAATAGTTTTGTCAAAAGGATGGTTATTGGCTTGATGCCACTATTATTGTATACACTTTTGACTCCCTTGGCAATTAGAAAGATTAGAATTTTAATATTATGATTTATACATTTTCTTTATTCTTGAGAATTGACAACCAAGCTATTAAATACTAAATACTGGTCTGTGTGTTAGTTTTGCCATCCATTGATATTAGGTTCTAGTGAGTACTCCAAAAATGCCTCAAAGTTGGTTAAATTTGGCCCATGACAGGAACCAAGGGAATTGTCTTCAGCAGCAGCCCAGGTTTAGATCTGTAAGCTCTGATGAGTAAAAATATTTCTCATATCTGAAAAGTCTTATCATTAATCAATATTTACAGAGAAATATATGAAGCTTGTAGATGCATCTATCTATATTTATCTCTCTCTCTCTCTCTCTATATATATATATATATATATATATATATATATATATATATATATACATATATATATATATATATATATATATATACACACACACACACACACACACACACATACATATATATATATATATATATATATATATATATATATATATATATACACACACCAATGCATTTCATTACCTAATGAACTTTATCAAAGTAAAAAAAATGGATTGGTAAAAAAAACTTTTCTTTTGTCTTTTATTTTATATTGTTTTTGCAGATATATTTTGTTTGTAGCTGAATTTTTGCACATACAGACACGCACACACACACACACCTACACACACATACACACACACACACACACATAGTGTATATTTAGGCATTATTCTTTATTTTATACATGTTTCATTGAATGTGATGCACAGGGAAATTTTATAAGTTTTTTATTCATTCTTAGGATTGATATATTGATTTTCTAAGCTTGGCTTAGATGTGGCACAAGGCCGAAGGTATGGGGCACCCAGTGAGGATTGAACTCACTACACAGTTGTAATTGTTCTAATGAGACAAGCTTGCTAACCATTATGCCATGCCAAGGTGCCCTTTCCTATGATTGATATATGTATGTTAATATTTCATCCCAAGAAAGGTAATAAAGCTACTAAGATGCAAGGGATTACTGAAGTAAACAGAAAATGTTACTGAGATGAAAGGACAATAAAAAACAGGATTCAAGGAGACAGAAGATGACAATTGATGTTCCATTTAAGTTTTTGAAGATTGTAGTTGATGAGAAAGTAAGAAGCTGGAAGAGAGTTCCATAAATAAGAAGTGTGAGAAGAAAAACCAAAAGAATAGAACTTATAGTTACACTTAGCAATTTCAACTTTAAAATGATGAATTCATCAATTTGTGGTTCCCGAAGAGGAAAGGTCATTAGAACAATTGCAAAGAAAATATTTTTATAAATGGCACAGAGAAGCCCTGTTGTGGTGATAGGAAAATGATTGAAACCGAGATGCCAGGTCAGGAGTCATAATATTGCATGTTTTTCTTTAGATTTTGTCAAGCTTCTCTAAATACATAGCAAAAGCAGCAAATCAAATTTAGTAACAATATCCAATGCATAGATGAAGTGAAATCAATTAATAATGCACCAGTAGTCTGCAAGCTTTACAAACATAAACCTGTGTTTTTTACAGATGTTTTGCTTTGTTCTTTATGCACATAGCCACATTTCTGCCAAGTCACCTATTTTAGCTTTACCTTACTCTCTCCTGTGCTAATAAATTTTATATTATTGAAGGTATCTACAAGGCAGATCTATGGACACTATACAATTCCATTAAGATATTTGTAACTGTGAAATTATATGCATGAATGAACAGACACAGTTCAAACAAAGCAGATATTTTAGTAAACATCCTAAGTGCAAAGTAAGTAGATTATGTGAAACTGAGAATTTTTTATTTTTTTAATGAATTAAATTTAAATTTATAGATTGCCAATTCTGCATTTAGCAAGTGAATAAGTTCACTCACCATTTAATAGAGAACATGCTTTCTGTTTTGTTTTAAATGTGATACTTGAAAAACAACACCTTCAAGTTTCAGTACATTTAGCCTATCAGAAATCATCATGACCTTGCATGTTATACTGAAAAAAGAAAAAAAATAGAACACTTGAAAATCAATCCATGCAGAATCTTTAATTCCCAAAGAGGATTGATATCCCTCCCATGGCTGAACTACTTATAAAACATACTGGTTTATAAGTGAAAGAGAAAGAAAGAAATGAGAGAACTCTTCGTCTAAACATAACTTGAGTCAACACTCAGTTGACTAAAAAATGCTAAAACATTATAAAAAGAAAATTATATATATATATATATATATATATAAAAATACAAAAGTGAACATAGAAGTCAACACTTAGAGGCGACAGTCTGTTTTATGCTAGATGCAATCCTCAGGCCACCTGGTATAAAAGTGAACATAGAAGTCAACACTTAGAGGCCTGAGGATTGCATCTAGCATGAAACAGATTGTCGCCTCTAAGTGTTGACTTCTATGTTCACTTTTATACCAGGTGGCCTGAGGATTGCACTTTTATATTTACACACGCTCGATCTCTGATATTGAGCACTTTATCCCATAAATATAGCACATCTTTAGACTATATTTCTTCATATATATATATAGTAATGGATAGTGAGTAATGCATAGTGTTATACTCGAACTACAGCCAAATTCCTTACATTCACATATATGTAAATACACTTGATAAAGGTAAGACTTCATCTGTTCTACCCAAAGCTATGGGTAAATAGCAGAACAGTCTGAGTTTTATAGCCTTCGGTGACAACTGGTCTAGAAGGACAATTTTAATTTAAAAACTAGTAGAGGGAAGTTTGGGAACCTCGTGCTGACTATGTGCACCATTTCACTGTATTTGGCACTTCCCAAAAGTGGGGTTGGTTCTGCACAAGCCTTCACCACTATAATCACATCATATATGCAAATAGTCTGGCTGTTCAGTTCCAAGCAATGAGTTGCTCTACACTCATCAAAAACAATGGGAGGGTGCAGCAACCTTTCTTTTAAACATCTTTAAATAGGACAGACAAGGAAAATTTAAGTAATTTTTATTTAGTTTTTCCAGTGTTCTTACATTTTTCTATTTGGTGGAAGTAAGGGAGTGCAAAAATTGTTCATATTGTCGATGGCCCCAAGTGCTTTCAGCCACTTCTTTAGCCATTTTCAAGGTTTCTAGGTGTTAATGTCTCTTCCTGTTTGACTGTTTAAGATGTATTTTATTTTTGTGTTGTTTTGAATACAAGTTGGAGTATTTATTCTGAGCCTTCTTGTGTTGAGCGCAGTTGGAATTCAAGTGAGCGTCTTTTTATTTTTTTAAAATCTTTCAACACACCATTCCCACTATTAAATAAGGTGAGGTTGATAGTGGGAATATATATATACTCAAGTAAACACTAGGACACACAAAAATTAACAACAGCAACATATGTCTAGAAAGCCAGAAACCAAATGACAACATTTGAAAGAAAAGAGAGAAAAAGAGAGAACCTGATTAAAGAGTGAGCGTGAAGTGAAAAAATGATGAAAAGGACAAATAATCATGACATTCTACACGTACACGCATACGCGCAGATGGGCACACATGCATGAACACACACACACATGCACACATAAACTATGAAAATAAACTGCACCAAAGAAAAGTGCATATAAAAAAGGAAAATCAAGAAGTATAATCATCAGTTGCTAATACCACCTAATAAGTGGACAGAGTAATTCAGGGGCAAGGTAAATCAATTGAATTTATTTTAATGTTAATTTTTTACTAAATATTGAAGTTTGCATGCCTTATTCAAAACAAATTTACTATCTCACTTCAAGCCAGAGGAATTCTCTCTTCCTGAAAGATTTAATCATATATTCAATAATAATAACACAGTTAACCCATTACTACATAAAATTTGCTTAGGTGGGTAACCGCTTGTATATTCGGGTGGTGTAATGGATAATAGTTCAAAATTTTTAATCGATAACCTGCAATGGGTTGATAAGCCATAGAAAATTAATGAATGATTCAATCAATTAAATACTAATTAGCTACACAGGCATGTCTTTTAGATTTATTTACATTCTCTGGAATATAAATGTATAGAAGCTACCGTGACCACAAAGTGAGGGATCAGTTTATATATTGATTGTAATATAGATTCGATCCCCCACTTTATATCCACATTATAATCTCTTGTTTGTTTATCAAGTTCTGAGTAGGAATGAATCTATCTCTTCTCCTTCACCTATGGGTTAATGAGTTAGACTTGTATTAATAAATCATTATCATCTCAAAAAGAAAAAAAAAATTCTCACAATCTAAAATATTTTCTGGTTTTAAATAACCCGCAAAGGGCTGATAAGCCATAAAAAATTAATGAATCAATCAAACTTCTGTAACACAAGAAGTTAATATAGTTGTTCAGCAGTTGAATAGATGATACACAAGCAAGAAAATCCTAATATTACAAGTATAATATCAACTTGAGATTTTTCTTGTTAAAAAGTTTTAACACATTCGACATTATGGATAAAAAATAGTGAATTTTATATAGTTTTTTTGAGACTTATCATGAGCAAAACAAATAACATCACTACAAATACATCTATAAGAAAAAATTACTTTAAAAAAATAAAAGATTTTCTCTCTTTGCATTTCAATGCTTGTAAAATCTGGTATCGCAAGTTACCTGACAATACACTCTCTCTGTTATTTTCCCATGTTAACCACGCCCTCTGCCAAACTCTTAATAAACCAAATGAAAAAAAATGTTTATTCTTTGATTCAAACGTTGCATTTCAAAATGAACCAGAGGAAAAGGTGCATGCTTGAAAATGCAAAGAATGAGTGTAACAGTCCAAGAAAACAAATTTTCTGCTGTGCTTCAAAACTGTTCAGGCCAAAATGACTGCAGCAGCCTCATGTCTGGAAACTTTGATGTTTGTTAATCCATAAAGAAGACAAGTCATGCTTTGCAGTGAGTCATCCATCTCAGAACAAGAGACGGATCCTAAGACTAGGAAGAAGCAAGCAAAACAAAAACAGTCGACAAGAGGAAAAGAGAAATTGACAATCATATGGACAACACACAAGAAGAAGGGTGGAAACAAAAATGCCAAGATATCCAAGTTGAAAGAAAGAAGAAATAGCAAGATACACAGAGAGGGAGGGAGAGAATTCTCTCATCAGTAGAAATAAAGAAAATCACTAGATTGGATAAATTAAAGATATATATAGAGATAAAACAGAAAGGCAAAATATTTAAGGGGAAAAAAGAAACTAACAACTATATGGACAACACACAAGAAGAATCAGAGTGGAAACAAAACTGCAAAGATGTCAAAGTTGAAAAGACAGAGAGAGAGAGAGAGAGAGAGAAAAGCAAATAAAACGATAAAGAACAAAAAGCATGGCAGATACCAGAGAGACCCAAACAGAAATTGGAGAGAGACATTAGTGGAAGAGGAAAGGACATGTGAAGAAGATAGATAGAGAGATACAAAACAGTAAAAAAGAAAGAAAGAAAGAAAGAAAAAAAAGAAAGAAAAAAGAAAGAAAGAATTCTTTTAGTGGACAAGAAGAGAGTAGATATAAATAAAAGAGGTAAAAAGAAAAAAAATCACTTGACTGGATTAAAAAAAAGATATAGAGAGATCAAACAGAAATTGGAGAGAGACATTAGTGGAAGAGGAAAGGACATGTGAAGAAGAAGATAGATAGAGAGGCAGAAAACAGTAAGAAAGAAAGAAAGAAAGAAAGAAAAGAAAAAAAAGAAAGAATTCTTTTAGTGGACAAGAAGAGAGTGGATATAAATAAAAGAGGTAAAAAGAAGAAAAAATCAATTGACTGGATTAAAACAAAGATATAGAGAGATCAAACAGAAAAAATAAAGACAAAATATTGAACTGACAAGCAAGCAAGAAGGAATAAAAAAAAAAGAAAGGATGAAGAAAGGAAGGATAAAAAGAAGGAAGAAAGGAAGGAGAGGGAAAAAAAGAAACAAACAATTGACAGGAGAGTAAAAAATAATTCTGAAAAGATGGAGAAGAATTGTAAGAATGTTAAAGATTGCAAGAAAAAACATAATATAGAAGAAAGGAGAGATAAATATATATCCAAATTAAAAGCTGCTTGAAAATAAGTATCCTAGGGACAGAAGTATAATAAAGAGTGTGAAAGGAAGATGTTGGGTGAAAAGAGAAAGGGAAAAATGATAATCTATAAGTTTCCTTGTCAAAAAAGAAAGAGAAAAATAGAAGGCTGGAGAGAGAAAGATTATGAACTTCAAAAGAGTGGAAACATTGAAGAGATTAGAAACTTCAGACAGAGAGGAAGAGAAAGAGTTTGTGGGAGAAAAGAAAGAAAAAGAAAAAAATATAGGTAAAGATACAAAAGAATTTAAAAAAAAACGAGACTAAAACAAAGGACTAAACTGCAGTAATTAACCAAAAAATAAAAATAGATAACAACAGCAAGAAAGGAGATGGTACCCTAAGAAAAAAATATGAAAGAAATTGGAATAAAAAAATGAAAGAAAGAATATGACTTGAAAGAATAGAAAAGATATAAAGACAAGAGCTTTTGAAAAGGAAAGCATAAGATTGGCAGAGATTGCAAAAGAAAGAGAATGAAATAGTTTTCTGGGAGGGAGAAATGAATGAAAAAATACTAGAAAATTAATGAAAAAATTTAAGAAAAAGACAAAAAAAAACATCAGAGAAAAAACATCAAAAGGAGAAAAAAGAACATTCACTAAGAGAAAAAAGATATTTTAAACTGAAGAAGTGAATAGTTAAAGACTAGAAAAGTTTGGCATTGTCATCAATGGCCATATTGTAAAGGATATTGTATGAAAATGAACTCAATATAAAAGAAAGTCAAGTCTTTAGGATTGAGAAGAAACAAGAGGAATAGCAAAAAAGATCAGTGTAAAAAAAAGAGAATTAATGTCTTAAAAAATAAATAAATACTGTTCCTACACACAAAGAAAAAGCTAAATAAATAAAATTCAGAAGATGAAAAACTAAAAGTATCTATTACATATATATATCAGTGGGTTATATATAATAGAACATAGTATATAGGACCTATACATGTTTAAAAAAAAATAATGCATGCACGAAGGAGAAAAAGAATGAAAAAATTAATTTAAAAATCTTATGCTTTTGGAAAAGATATAAAAATAAATTCACACACAAAAAGTAAATCCATATTGAAGAAACTGGCTAGAAAATAATGAAAGAAATACAGGGTGCTCCACAAAAAATAGGAAATTTTAGATATGAAAAAAAATTAACTAAATTCTTTAACCATTTGTTGTTTCAAGATGCTGCACTTATCAAATTTTCAACACAGGGACTGAAAAAAATGCCAAGAGTTCTTTAGTTTGAACACCACATCTAACATTTATGTTTTTACTCTGTTTTAAGCTACTAAATTTCTATCCATTAGTTTTGTTTCAAAAAAACTGTAACAAAAATTCCAACAATTAAATAAATTGCACCAAATTTCCTGTTTTTTGTGGGGCACCCTCTACAAAAAGAAAAAATGTTAAAAAAAAATAATGAAAGGAAATTAAGAAAAGTTGAAAAAATAAAAAAAATATGAACAAATAAAGAAATAAAAAACAAATTAATTCATGAAAGATAGAAAGGAAAAGAGAAAAAAAGGAAAAATTTAAAACAAATAAAATGTGAAAAAGCAAAGGAAAGCAGAGAAATTGAAATTGAAGGAATAAGCAATAATGGAAGTTACAAAATGGTGGGATAAAGAAATTAAGAAAAAACATGGAAAATAAAGAAGACAAAATTGAGAAGAAAACTGTGAACAAAAGACTGAAAATTAAATAAAAGGAATGAAAAATTCAAAAGAAAAACAATTGGTATAAAAAATAAAAAAGGGAAAAGAAAAAAGAAATTAAACAAAAGCAGAAAACAGAAAATTAAAAATGTAAGAGAGAATGAAGGAAAAAAGAGAGAAAATTATAAGAAATACAAAAACTAAAATTTAAAAAGGTTAAAAAAAGAAGTTAATCTTCTATGTTCCCTTCAGAATGTTGACAACCATGACTTTCTACAATTTCCTGTCCTTTGTAAACTTTTGTCTTTTTGTTAATTCTTCTAATCTTTGTTCTGCCAAACATTTATACAAGCTCATTAGTGATATGCTGCTTTCCTCAGTCCCTCTTGTGTTCAATATATCCTGTGAGTATCAAATTTTCCAAGCCTTTTTTTCTCATTATGTACCCTAAAAATTTCAGCTATCTCTCTTTGGTGGTAACTATAAGTATCCTTTTTGTTTCCATTTCTCTTAAACTTTCTTGTTTTTCACATGTTCAGTTCATTGTCTTCTCAGCATCCTTCCGTAGGAAAACATTTTTGTTGCTTCAAGTCACTTCTTCATCTGTGAGAAGATTGTCCAGCATTCACTGCCATATTACAATTACTGATTCAGTACTCTTTTCTTGGTTTCTAATAATTTTATTCTCTTTGCTTAACTTTTGGAAGGTATTTTTTGCTATTTCAACATGTCTTTGGTTATCAGTATCATATATTCCATCCTGTTTTAAAGCATTTTCCAGATATTTAAATTATTATTATACTTGTTTAATTTTGGTATCTCTAATTTCTGTTCCTTTCACTAATAGTTAAAGTTTAGGAGGCACAGTAGAGTAATGGATAGCGGCTCAGATTGAGGAATCAGAGAGCCGAGTTTGAATTCCAGTCAAATCCATTTACTTACGGACTAATACCTTGGGAAAGGTATGAATCCTCTTCTTCGCCCCCCAGCTATGGGTAAGTAGTAGGACAGGCCAGGTTCTGTATCCTTAAATGGCAACTGGTCTATTGCAGAAAGAAATGGCAAAATCTGCCTTGTCAGTCATATATCAAAAGACTAGCAGCATGGCCCAGTGTTGCCCGTGCTTGATTCATACAGCAATCGCTATCACTTGACTTAAAATATTTTTGCCCTTCCTTGCCTTTAAAGGAGTGCCCTTTGTTGTGCTGATATTGCTACATGCCTTACTTCTTGCCTATCTCACACTGCAAATTTTTTCTAAGCTCTATACTAAACATTAAATCTGTTACGAAAAAAGAACTAAACAAAATGAACACAAAACGATCAGCTTTAAAAAAGGACTCGTAACTGGAAAAACCGAATGAAAAAAGAATGTTAACAACAAATAATTTTTCACACCCAACCCAGTTCTGTGGAATCAGAATCAACGTTGAATTTAAGCAAGCAAATGAGCCAATTGGGGTAAAGTGCCATGCAGATTTAAATTTTTCCCACTTGTGACGAATGCAGCTATCAATTTTTTTTTGCATGCTAACATGCTAGTTAACATTTGTATCAGTCAATTATTGGCTCTCACGCTGGCCAATAGAATCTTCCTGCCTATTCGTGGCAGCCAGCTATATGCTCTCACTCTAGCCAGTACAAAATGGCTGCAAACTACATGAAAACTGCTGTAGAAGCATGAAAAAATCAATTATTTCCACTATTGATGGGAGTTGGGAAATGCAAAGTCAGTCTTGGCCTTTCTGCTAACTTGAAGCATGTGCATGTAAATTTTGCTGCAAATCCGTCGAGAATTGCGGCCGTGCATTCGTTACACACACATCCTGCCTTTTATAGATAGAGATACATGATTGACTAAGCGTGTATCACATATGGCACATAACTGACTGACTAATATTTAGTCTTTTCTTCTTGATTTGCTTTACTACCTTCTGTAGGACTTCCTGTAATAATAATTGCAACAGAAATCTCCATAGAAGAATAAGTTACACTTAATTGCTATCAATATGCATATTGGCCTGTTCTGTCTTCTTATAGTGGATGCTTAATCCTTTCTTTTCGCTTTACTTTAATACTTTTGATGGGGCTTCCTGTCTATCAACAATGTGTCACCTGCATATATAATGTTGTTAAGATTGTAGCTGCCAACAATGAATCCTGGTAGGAATTCTAATTCTCTCAAGATATTTTCAATGTAAAGGTTGAATACATAAAAGAATCATCATCATTTATATATCAAGTTTCCTTTTACCCAACCTTCCATCAATATGTGCCATGAGTATTATTTTTACCAAGCTATTCTTCCGCTTAATGTATCCAAGAAATTTCAAATGTCTCTTTCTGATTTTAAGTATTAGTGTCTTTCTAGTTCCCATTTTGTTTAGAATTTCCTCATTGCTCATATGTTCTGTCCATGGTATTCTCAGTATTTGTCTGTCAAAATGAATCTTAAAATCTCTTCTTCAATTGGAACAAAATTGTCCAGTATTCAATGCTATACACAAGGCTAGATATAACATAACAGTTGAGAACTCTTTTCTTTTTTTTCTAATGAAATATATGTGATTCTTAATACTTAATCTTCTCAGATTCACATTTTCTGCTGACATGAAGTGAAATAATTATATTGAATCAATTACTAGGTCTGCTGCTAGTCAAGTTGGTTCACTGTGTTGTCCTAGACATTTTTTTCATGCCAGAAACTATATTACATATTTACAAGTCTACCATTCATCCATGCTTTGAATATTGCTGCCAAATCTAGTCTGGCACACCTGCTATATATTTAGAGATTCTTGATAAAATCTAAAGAAGAATCTGCAGTGTTATTCATCCTAACCTGGCATCTTGGCTTCAGTCATTTTCCTACCACTGTAACATAGCTTACATGTGCCTTTGCTATAAATACTTTTATGGTAATGGCTCTGATGAACTTTTCTATATTGTACCCGGACTGTATGACTTTAAGTGCAGTAGTAGATTGGCTGTAAGATCTCATCATTTTATATTGAAATAAGAAGATATACCTGTAAGTTCCTCCTCTTGCACTTCTGGTTTGTGGAACTTTGTTCCAGCTTCTTGATTCCAGTCAACTTTGATCTTTAAAAATTTAAATACAATCTCTTCTTAATTTCTGTTCTTTTATTGTTCTCTCTTCTTAACAGTAATCTTTGTTTTTTCTTATATTCTTTCATACTCAGTAACTCTTTGCATCTTAGAGGCTTTATTGCCTTGCTTGGGGTGAAATGATTAAAAAAAAACTTTGCATATTTTCTGAAAGGATTTTTTGCTATTCTGATGTGCCTTTGAATTTCTGTGTCACACTTTCTATCATCTATTATTACACTTCCCAAATAATAAGATTGAATAAAGGTGTATATAAGTGAAGATGGTTTGAGTGCACTGGCCTTGTTCAAATTGTTGATCATGTCAGATAATGCACTCTCTTCTGGAAACTGTTCTAGTATGAACCATAGGTTTGTTCTGTGAGTGTTGAACAAAACACAAATGTGCCAGGGCAAGCATCTGCAACAGGGATTGGCTAGCCATCAAAGACAGACATACTCAGATACTAGCAGTCAGTAATTTTTATATATATATTGTACAGATGTCTTTGTAAGCATATGAGTTGGTGCATGATTGTTTTTAAAATAATTTTAATTTCTAAGTGCATTAGTTGAAAGGAATTAAAATTTAAATAACTTAATTATCAGAAATGTTACAAAGAGAAATTTTGCAACACGATAATTCAATATAAGATTTAAATGGGGTATAAATTTTTATGTAAATTATAAG